GGGGTAGTACCGAAAGATACTTTTCCCAGACTGCTAAAAAATTGTTTGGATCAACTTGATGTAGACAACAAGACATCAGCAAATCTCATAGCTGGATTCCGTGGAAGTGGAATTTATCCAATCAACAGAAACAAAGTACTAGATAAGTTGCCACCGAGCTTAGAACAGCCAAATGATGAAAACAATTTTGTAGTGTCAATAGATAATGCTTTTCAAGTCTTTTTAAGCAATCTATATACGAAGGAAACAGTAACCGGTACGAGGAAAAGAAAAAAAATTCTAATCGAGCCTGGAAAGAGTGTTGAAAATACTACTCTAGAGAGTGTTGAAAATACTACTCTAGAAGAAGTAGAACAGACGGTAAATGAAAATGGAGTCCATGGAAACCAGGAAGAAATTGAAGAAGAGCTACCTGATTTTACTCAATTTAATAACCCGACACCGTCAACATCAAAAGCAAAACCTATTATTTCTCGAAAAAATAAAAAAAGCGTAGATTCCTCCAGTGACAGTAATGATTCCTTTTCCACGCAATCGTCATATGATAGCCCTGAAGATTTTGAAGAAGACGTGGATATGGTTGATCCTTCGGATATAAAAGTTGATGACTTTATTTTGGTGCAATTTTCATATGAGGCTCCCCATAAGCCAGCTATTTTGAAGAAATTCATTGGACAAATTATTGAACTAAAGCCGGATTTAGTTTTGTGTAAATTTATGCGCAAATCACCACAAGGAAAAAATATTTACGTATTTCCAGATATTGAGGACGTCACAGATATTAATAAAAATCAAATTCTGTCAAAGCTGGTTCCTGTGTTTGTTCGACGAGGAAGATTTACTTTTTCTATTGAACTTTAAAAACCTGGCACAATTGTTTAAAACATTTTTTTTTTCGTTAAAATGAGTTTTTTATTTGTTTTTTAAGAGTTATGTTTTATTTAGATTAGTTTCTACCAAAGTTTTTCAAGTTCCTACTTATTTTTTAAGAATTAAAACTTTAGTTTTGTATTAAAAATGTAAAATGTTTAAAATAATTATATTTCTCCAAATAAGAGTTGTGTTTATGAAATAATATGTTCTATTACGTTTTTAAAGACTATTAATGTCTCAAGTCCGCAAATTGACGGTCCGTCTTGAGTTTATAATGAAAACAAATTACTGTCTCAAGTCACCGCCCCTGTGAAGCTGACTTGAGACACCCAAAAAAACAAAAAAAAAAATATTTTCTGATAAATTTTAGGTCATTTTTATTATTGAATTTTGAAGAATGTATGTAGACTCAAAAATGTGTCCTTGTTTCATAATTTTAATTTGCTGGAATACAATTTTACAGTCCTTTGAATTTTGAAACTGTCTCAAGTCACCCAACTTGACGGTAGGTAATTAGAATCGGTTTAGCAAAAATGTGTTTTAAAACCAATTTCCAGTCTTTGAATATAATTACATTTTTACTTCAATGCATATTATGTTTATTTTGAAAAACATGGATGATTATTCCATATAACTATCTATATCATTGACCCTGTCAAATCACCAGGCCCACATGGTTGCCATATCATAATCTGTCATTGCCCACGCGCAGCCATTTTGTTTGGAATGTCTAACTAAAATACCTTGAAGTTTAGTATTATAGTTGTAAAAACACAAGATTTATTATAAAGAAAATGAGGAGAGAGGATGACATCTTCCTATCAAATTAAAATCATTAAGGATTGGTGTGAATATGTATTACTTTAAATTTAATTTATAATAACTATAAATAAACACTTCTAAATACCTGCTTAAAGATCTTTTATTCAGCAAAGTTAAGTAAATAAAACCGACAAACAAGAAACAAATTAATACTAGAACCCTCATAAACGCCGATGCATCAAAGTGAAATGGATATTCTACATTAGCGTCGTCTCTTTTCCGGCTGCGCCTGCTTCGCAAACGGACTTTACAGTTGGTAATGTTGGTATTGAGTTCTATTGATGGGTACGTACAACACTATACTTAGGTACCTAGCACTAACGTAGGTGTTGCGCTAGGACATGAATGTTAATAAAGTGTTTAACTAAGAAACCAAGGCGTCCGAACACCTTATAAATCATTCTGAGCATTTATTTTTAATCCGATTTTTGTGAAATTTTCAGGAAATACCAGTAATAACAAAACTTAGGGTGGAGAAACCTTGAATTTTTTGTATGTCTTAGAAAAGTATTTATTTTGAAAAATTTTAAAAGGAATTAAAAAAAAAAGCTTTTTTGCGCCATTCTGTATTAAATCTATGAAAATTTGCTGTTTTTTGTTTTAATAAATATCTAGAATTTTTTAAATGGGATGATTTCCCATTTTTTTCTTAAATATCTCTGTAGAGAGCTGTCTTATCGTTGCACAAATTTAAAGCTCTTAATATTGTCAAGACACATAATATCACGAAGTATTCCCAGTGACATGCTTATAAATACAAGTTTATATTATAAATTCTTTAAAACTTTTGCTTTCGCCGGTTTGCTATTAAAAATATATTATGGGCTCTGCTTTTCATGTCCAACGTTCCCTTATGATAAAGACGGAACCGTTGATTGATATCAATGGTTTTACTTCTGTGACCTTTTTAATACTAACAAATAAAACACCAATGTATACAGAATTACTGCGTAGAAAAAATTATACAAAATTCTTTTAGTATATCAACATGTATATTACAAATATTTACAATCGACACTTAATCCTAACACTGGTTCTGTATTTAAATGTTTTATAGTTTATAAAGCATATGAAATAAAATAAATTATTTATGGATTAAAAAATTTGTAATTTTGAGCTTTGAGTAAAAGACGAATGCTTAGATAGCTTCATTAATAAATAGCAGCCAAAAAGTTTATACAATGGATTCTTATCTAAAATGAAAGCACTCACTCATTGTAAAAATTGGATTCAGTTGTCTTTTACCCGTTAGGATGAAACCGTCGAGCAGAAAGTTGGACCATTTGAACATGGTATCTATCTGGACTAGTATATTCCTTGTTGACAGGTTCAAATTGTAAATATTTTTTTTTTTTTCATTGGCTTGAGTATGCTTTTAATATTTGAAGTTATACTTCACTACTTGATATATTTCCATAATTTGTTTTTGAGCAAAATGTTCATATTTACTAATATACAGGGTGTCCCAAATTGTTTTAACCATGCTGTAACTTCTAAACCATGCAAGATAATTGAACCGGACAAAACTTATCCATTATAATTAGCGGTGTACTTTAAAACAAATAAAAATTTGATGACCCACCCTCAAAAACCAGCCCCCTGAAACAACCCCCTCAAATATTATTAACGACACCCTAATTTTTTTTCTGCACATTTTTGTAGTCGCTACTTTTCTCTGTACAACTGTTTTTAAAATTTTGAAATCGCTCCATAAATAAGTGAGATTCGTTTTTTTTTTTTCATTTTCATCAAGTTGCTTGCTGTCAAATTCAAGTTTTCTAGGGCATTATAAACAATACTATATCAATCTGTCTCTTGTCAAACAGAAGTGCAGCTTAAATACTCGATAAAGTTAGCAGTTTTTACTTGATAAAGTTTGCAATAATTTAGAGTTTGTCAAGTCCTAACAAATTATTTCAAAATGCCTACTCTGTTTAGTTCCAACGAGTACACCGATATGATAATTATTTACGGCGAATGTCGCAAGAATTCAAGACAAGTTAGACAATTATACTATGAACGTTTTCCGAATAGAACAATTCCCTCAGATAGAACGTTTTCCAATTTAGAAAGAAGTCTTAGACAAGGACATTTTTCTGACGGTAAACATCATGGAGGACACAACAGAATGATCAGAAATGAAGAAAATATTATTCACGTTTTGGCTTACGTTCATGTAAATCCACATGTTTCTATCAGAATTTGGCACTCGAAATTGGAATAAGCAAAAGTAGCATCCAAAGAATATTAAAAGACAATAAATATCATCCTTATAAAATACACTTGGTCCAAGGTTTACTCCCTAATGATCTTGAAAGACGCTTAGACTTTCTCGCTAGAATGCAGGTGAAACTAAATGACGATGCCACATTCTTAGATAAAATATTATGGAGCGACGAATCACGTTTCCATAATAATGGTGTATTAAATCGTCATAATTCCAATTACTGGTTCCCAACAAATCCCCACTGGGTAAGAGAAACAAGGTTTCAAAATATTTGGGGCATAAACGTATGGTGTGGTTTGTTCAATGGTAGGATTATAGGTCCTCATTTTTATGAAAACACTCTAACGGGAATAGGATATCGAGATTTTTTAATCAATACCGTTCATGATTTGTTGGAAGGTGTTCCTCTTAATCAAAGACGTGGTATGTGGTGGCAGCAAGATAGTGCACCAGCTCATAAAGCACAAATTGTGAGCCAATATTTGGCAAACACTTATGGAAACCGTGTTATATCCATACATTCTCCAATTATCCAGTGGCCGGCTAGGTCACCTGATTTGTCGCCTCTAGATTTTTTCCTCTGGGGTACTATAAAGGACGTAGTATACGAAACAAAACCAGAGGACTTAGAAGATTTAAAAAATATAATCAGACATGCTTGTAACAGATTTACATCGGCCATGATTTGAGCTGCCTGTACTAGAAATTTATTGTTAAGGTTTGACAAATGTGTAGAAGTGGGAGGTGGGCAATTTGAGCACTTAATATAAGTTATTACTACTCTTTGTCTGTTGATATTTATTTCTTGTCTTCTCCTTCTCTTGTTTCAATGTATTTTTTAATTATGTGTCACCTAATAAAGTATTTTTTATCATCAACTTGACATACAGTTTTATTTAATTACTCACTTATTTATGGAGCGATTTCAAAATTGTAAAAACAGTTGTACAGAGAAAAGTAGCGACTACAAAAATGAGTAGAAAAAATTAGGGTGTCGTTAATAATTTTTGAGGGGGTTGTTCCAGGGGGTAGTTTTTGAGGGTGAATCGTCAAATTTATATTTGTTTCAAAGTACACCGCAAATATTAATGTATGACTTTTGTCCGGTTCGATTATCTTGCATGGTTTAGAAGTTATAGCCTGGGTAAAACAATTTGTGACACCCTGTATAAATAATATTTTATTTCACTTACTGTATAAACTCTTCCGTTTATGATATTATTGCACTATGAATAATGATACCTAATGAACCCGTTGCCAATATTCCAAAAAGAAATCTGCATCTATTTCAACATAAATAATAAAATGTTTCCTTTTGTAATCACTACGTAAAACACATTTGAACTGTTTTAAAAATTTAATTTGAAGCTGTATTGTTAAAGTAATGATATAATTATCATGGGAAGAAAACATTCTCAAAAAATTTGTAGGGTATACCCTAAATTATTTACCACAACAAAAATTTAATGACATTCAAATATCTGTAAAAAATGTTTGTACTGTAGTTTTTCTCGAAATTATTATTGTAAGGAGTCCTAAAACAGCTTCAAATTAAAATTCAATATTTACATATTTGTTCCAATGTGTTAATATCTCTCAAAATTGCAACCTTGCGCATATTTGAGCCATCTCAGTAAACATCACATATCTGAATCACTAGTTTCCAACGACTTCATCAGCCGATTAAGTTCTAATGAGGCGGCGCTTGAGAATGAAACCCGTGCAAGTCCAACCCCACCCTAAGAGCAGCATGACTGGCCAACACTCTTCCCGCTAAATCTCCTAAAGCTCTCTCCAACTGTTGATGTTGACTCCTGACAGCAAATCTGTTAACGTGTACAGGAATGGGTACTACAAGTTTACTTTTCTGTTGGGAATTTTTAACTCCTTGATGTGGTCCACTGCCTAAACCAGCTTTGACCCTTTTCCATTTGGCTCGACGATTCTGGAACCAGATTTTCACCTGGACTTCGCTGAGGCGGAGGGCGGAAGCAATCTGACTTCGTTCTGTCAGCGATAGGTATTTTTTAGCATGAAATTCTCTTTCCAGTTCTAGAAGTTGTTCGCTGGTGAACGCCGTACGTCGCCTACGGGCTTTGGCGGAACCAGGACCTTCTAATGAGTGAGATTCGTCTAGGTCATCGTCCAGATCCGAACCTGAAACAATAACATTATATAAATATCATCATTATCGATAAAATAATAGTCAACGTAAGACAGGTTTTGCACACCGCAATTGTGATATTATGTCCAGAAGAGGCTGTTAAAGTCATATAGATACCTACCAAGGTCAATTCATTAATTCTGTTCAAATCGAATGCCCACCTGCCAAAATAATAGTTCTCTTAATTCTAAAGGTAATTTTGACATAATATAAAAGCTTAGGCGCTATGCGCGTGTCGTAACCATCAGAGAAAAACCGATATATTTTGGAAGTGTACTCATTTTTTGAGTTATTCTTATGGTTTTCAAAAAAAGCAGCAGGATTTGATCCAATTATCAGGGAGATACTAAAACAAGTCCCATAGTTATACTGATCTATCGTATTAATGTCTAAATCACATAAACCAGACAAACAACCAAAGTTTCGTCTCATAGCCTTCTTGTTATTTCGAAACTATTTGAAAAAATCTTTCTAAAGATATTTGTATGTACTGTCACTATATTACAAACATACATTATTATCTATAAGTTTGAATAATATAGTTCATTTTAAATGAATTTAAACAAAGTAACATGGGACAGTAATTAATAAAGTGTAAAGTAAGTAATATAAAAAATAAAACATAAAATAATATTTACAGATATCAGCAAATTTATGAACATTTTTAACATTTTTTTTTTTGAGAGACTTTCAGAGATTTTCAGACTATAACAAGCAATATTTGAATTTAAAAATTGTTTTACTTTAATGATGGGTATTTGTAAAATCCAGTGACTAAGTTTATTTTTGAAGAGATTATAGAAATTTATTTTTTTGAATTCAGAAGGAATATCATTACATAATTTAGGCCCTAGGTAAGTGAAGCATTTTTGTCCTATTCTTTTCTATGTGCGAGGCACAGCAACTGCATCAGTTTTGTATCGCGTGCTATACGGGTTTCTGTTTATTTTTATTTTTATATTCATATAATAATATTGTTTTGGCATATAGCTGATACATGTTAAATATTTGGGTATCATGGTATAGTGAGTCTGATGGGTAAGTACGAGGTTTTTTGTACATATATTTTAAAATAGATTTTTGAATTTTTTGAAGGTTTTCCAGGAGCGTTGTTCCAGCGGAGCCCCATGCAATAACTCCGTAGTACAGATGATATTTTACAAGTGAATAGTACAGTATTTTAAGGTACTGAATATTTAAAAAGTTTGACAAATTTTTAAATTTATATACCATAAAATGTAATTTTCTTATAACATAATTCACTTGGATGTCCAATATTCTCAAGTATTTAATATTTTTTACAGCTTATATTTTTATTGATTGTTTACTATTAACAGACATTTTAAGATTATTATATGCTGGCAAGTTGTTAGTACATGATGTGAAAGGTATGTAAAATGTTTTCTCGTAATTTATTGTAAGAGCTTTATACTGAAAGAAGTTGACAATGCTTTTGAAGTCGCTTCAACTGTACTTTTGAGTGACTCCCAGTTTTGATTTAGATTTTGCAGTGTCGTCTGTAAAACTGACAATTTCACCTTTTATTTGTAGTTCGCATAAATCATTTATGTATATATTAAATAATAATGGGCCAGGGACTGTTCCCTGAGGAACGCCTCATGTAATAACTTCCAGTAGTGTATTGTGGTCAACTGTATCAAATGCTTTTGCGAGATCTACAAAGATGCATAGTGAAGGGTTTTTTGATCTACTGAGGTATTTATTAAATTTGTCAATCTCGCAATCGCATCTGACGTTTAGGTTTTTTCGCGAAAGACATATTGTCTGTTTGATAGTATTCCGTATTAATCCAAAAATGATATCATTCTTTTAAGCTATTGCATAGCATTTATCGCGGGCTTTGAGCGCGGCGACCGAATCAAGAAAAAAAACGAAACCGTAACGAAAAAAAAACACTCCCCACTCCGACCGGCACAACTGTGCGGCGTTAAACAATATTAACCTCTCATTTATTCAATAAAAGAAAATCGAAAAATCGAAAAATCGAAAAATCGAAAAATCGAAAAATCAAAAAATCGAAAAATCGAAAAATCGAAAAATCGAAAAATCGAAAAATCGAAAAATCGAAAAATCGAAAAAATCGAAAAATTTAAAAATCAAATCGTAAAATCAAAAAATCAAAAAGAAATTCCGTAACGAAAATAAACCTAACACCCTTAACTCCGACCGGCATAGCGGTGCGGCGTTGAAAGCCGTGCATCGTCTAACGTCGTTTCAGTTCGGCAGACTTCGGCACGGTGTTTGTGTGCGTGCGACTAGACGTATGCGTGTAGACTAGCTGCTAACTGCTCATAACTGATTCTATCTCTTTTAGACACAATTTCGGAAAAATTGAATTTAAAAATGAATAATGATCCACAAGAATCCACAACAAAATATGGGACCACCATTGACGCGGTATTTTCCAGATATTTAGAAGTCTCAAACTTATGTTTCTTATTTCAGTTACCATAAACCTGAGGTTTCAATGATAAACATTCCTGAATAACCTACATGTAATGTAATGTAATAAAAATGTTTTAAACAATATTAACTTCTCATTTATTCAATAAAAGAAAAAAATTTGTTTTCTTATCGCCACGCTCAAAAAGTGTAACTTAAATTAATATCAAAGAAAAAACTTGAATTTATTAATTCAAGTTTTTTTCTTTGATATTTCAGAGAAAAAAATACTGCCTAAATAAAATAAATAAATAAATAATTATAATTGCATAAGTTGATAAAAACGCTATGCAATAGCTTTACCGCATCAGTCCCCGAGTGCCACACGTATTTTTTTTAATATTTTTTCAAAGATTTTCCCTACACTGAAAATTATGGAAATTGGTCGGTAATTAATAACATTTAACTTGTCCCCTTTCTTATAAATAGACGTGATTACAGAATCTTTGAGAGCATCGGGAAATTTACTCTCACTAATAGTTTTATTAATAAGAAAAACAGAATCGGAGATATTTCTTGACTTAATTCTTTAAGAATTTCAGAAGTTATTTCGTCTAAACAGGATTCAGTACAGTCTGTATTTAATAAAAATATTGTTTTAGAATTCTTTTTTTGTAAATTTTTTTTGTTTGGGCTATATGATATTTCTGTTGCCATTTTTTCTGCAATTGTGTAGTGTTTACAAAATGTATTGGAAATTATTTTTAAGATGTCTGTTATATCGCCTTGTGTTGTTTTAATTTGATTAATTGTCTGTTTTGTTTCTTTTGTATTTGACATTTCATTAATACATTTCCTAAGATTTTTGCTTATATTTTTGTATTTTTCAATTCTCTCTTTATAGTAGATTTTCTTTTTATTTCGTTCCTTTTCAGTTTCACTAGTCATGTACAACTCTCTATAATATACAATTTTAGCACAGCCTATGTTAATATCATTTGAATTATATACATCGCTTCAATTTTCCGATTTGAGTTTTCCTTTTAATAGATTTTTATTAAGAAGCGGTTTAGTTTTTCTGAATTTGTTTTTATTTTGTTTTATGTAAAACTATGGTATTAGCTATGGAAAAGTGATATGTGTTTCAATTACAGCTGGAATATTGATTAAGTTTTTTTCGATAGTTTTAATAAAAATCTGATGTGACCAACACATGACTTTCCTATCTAGTTATTATAGGCTTCTTCCGGTTATTTTGTACAACCTATTACAGCACCTCTATAAATGTTTAGAGGATAAACTAAATATATACATTTTCCACATACATCTACATCGAAACATTTTTCTATAGATATTCATTGAAAACGAAAATATTGAAAAATTTAAATTTAGCACTTTTCCTACAATTTTTCCATTACGGTCCATTTTAGAAAAATCATGTATAAACAAAAATTGTAGAGATCGAATCGCAAACAACTTATAGTTCAAAATTTTTCATAAAAATCAGAATTTTGCACATTTTGTCAAATTTCTCGAATACGGACCATTTCAGGAAGTTTTGACATTAAAAAAAATTATAGATAATAATATTAGAAGTAACTTTTATTTGAACAATTTTCTTCTCCAAACATAAATAACAGATATACTCCATAAAATATAAAAACGGCCTCCCATAAAGTACTCCCCCTCCCCAGATGTTCCGACTTTGTCCAAAATCTAGTCATTTACGTCAGGCCGAAATAAAACTTAAGTTTAAAATTTAATGTTTTTTCCTTTATCCGTTTTTATTTGATATTTACACATTTTCTCAAATATCTCGAGTACAGTCCACTTTAAAGAAATTATGTATGGGTTAAAAATTATAGAGAATTATATTACAAACAACTTTTATTCAAACAATTTTTATAAAAAATTAATCTTTTTACATTTTGTCAAATTTCTCGAATACGGACCATTTTAGGAAAATTTTGTATTAAACAAAAATTATAGATAATAATATTATAAGTAAATTTTATTTGAAGAATTTTCTTCTCCAAACGTAAATAACGGATATATTCTATAAAATATAAAAATGACCACCAATAAAGTACCCCCCCCCCAAATGTACCGACTTTGCCCAAAATCTAATCAGTTCATCGCAGGTCGGAATAAAGCTTAAGTTTAAAATTTGGTGTTTTTCTTTGTATCGGTTCATGAGTTATGGTGGATACACACACACACACACACCACACACCACACACCACATACCACACACCACACACCACACACCACACACCACACACCACACACCACACACCACACACCACACACCACACACCACACACCACACACCACACACCACACACCACACAGGTGCAACTAGAAAATTACTAAATTCCCTTAATAAAATTAGTGATTGGGCGAATTAGGCTAAATGAAACGCCACGTTGCAGTTAGAATAAATAATACCTAAATACCGTACACGGATATGGCAAAATATTTGGGGAAAAATAGTAGTCAGCTTAAGTTGGCAACGCTGTTCTGATGTTCGTTTGCCGAAATCCCGATTATCGTTTGTCCTGCAGTAATAGCTTTATAAAAACGGAGACAG